GGAAGGCTGAGGCAGGAGGATTACTTGGGCCTGAGAGATCAAGGCCGCAGTGAGCAGTGATGGCACCATTGTATTCTAGCATGGGTGACATAGAACTAGATCCTGTCTCAAAAAAAAAAAAAAAAAAAAAGGGAAGAAAAAAGAAAGAAAAGAAAAAAGAAAAAAATGCTTGAACTCATTACTATAGTTAACCTGTCTAATTTATCCTTGTGTTTAGAATAGATTTTTTTAAAGGTAGCAAGAGTGTTATAGTATGTTATAGTCTCAAATCCAGTAGATTATTTTCTTGCATAGGTACAAGGAGACACATTTGAAAAGACAGCATGCAATGCCTTAATAAAAATATTCTCTGTTAAAATAATAATATTCATGTGGCAATGGATGACCAAACTTCTTTCTATATAAGTAGACTCAAAAAGGAAAATGTCTTGTTCATACATCATTCTGGAAAACATGGACCATTGCCAAGCTGAGAAATTGAGGAGGTATTCTGTGAGTGTTAATGAGAGTATTATCTCAATTACTTTAAAAAAATCCATAGTATTTTCTCAGTTAAGGTTTTTGTCTGTAAATGGGCTTTGGTGTGCTGTTATTGTTCACTGATGTATTATAAGTGCCCAGAGAGTGCACTCAGGTACTCAAGAAATATTTATTGAAATGAAATGAAATTGCTTGTCAATAAAAAGTCAAAATGGCTTTGTTTTTAAACCCCTGGACTTCTGTTTGAGGGCTTTAGGGGGATGATATTTTACTAATGCATGGATATAATAGCTAAGTTTTCTGTTAATAAAATTATTACTAATTTTTAAGGTAGTGTGATAAATTACTATTTTACCGTGTTCTACAGAAACCACGAAATCTAGGCACTTCATGGCTTGAGCAAGCCAAGGAGACTCTGCTAGGAGGAGGAAAGAAATGAAAAAGGGAAGGAAGATGAGTGGACTTCTGTGTCAGTAGCTTGGTTAGATGCTTGACATCCACAAACTCATATAATTTCATGAAAATCTGTATGAGGTTAGACCCCTTCCAGGACGGGAAGCAGAATACAGAGGGGTTTGACAGCCTATCTTCCAATTCCATAGTTCCACAGTTTGGAAGTTAGGAGGTACTGTTTATATGTAGGACTATGTTGCTGCTTTCAAGATCTGTTTGTTTTGGGGACAGATTCCTGACAGAAAACCTGGAATTCCCAGTCTAATAGGTTCAAGCAAGAACCACTCTTTAACAACAATTAAAGGGATTTTTAGTTGGCTTTTATAAAGCAAACTAAATATTAGTTGAGGATGAGTGAACCCAGATTTTTCAAATAAGCTATATGAAAATAAATATGCAAATGTACATGTATAGCTTACTCAGATCAGGTTTTTGTTCTTATCGCTCAACTAAATTTACCTTTTTCAAGGTCACCAGTGACCTTCCTGTTGCTAAGTCCAGTGGCAATTTTCAGCTCTTGTCTTACTTAATCTATCAGTAGCATTTGATGTATTTTTTTTTCCTTTCTTCTTGAGACACTATTTTTTTTAAACTTGGACAATTCTTAGACCTCTTCTCTTTTCCATCTGCACTCATTCACCATCCAGTCTCCTGACTTAAATACCCATGCTGATCACTCTCCATTTTCTATCTCCAGGAAGGACCAACTCCCTGACTGCATAGTCATATATTCACTTGCCTACTTGACATTGCCACCTGGGTATCTAAAGGACATCATGCACTTGACATATTTAAGATTGAACTCCAAATCGTTCCCCAGAAACCTGCTCCTCCTGTAATCTTCCGTATGCCAGAACTCTTGGCATCATCCTTGATTTCTCTCTTTTTCTCTTGCTCTGTTTTCATTGTATCAGCAAATCCAGTTAGCTCTGTCTTCAGAATATGTCCAGAACCTGGCTACTTCTCACTATTCCTAGTGACAGTGACAGGGTAGTGTGAGAAGCAGCCAGATTCTGGACATATTCTGGTTCAACAGTTACCAAAATCTCTTACAAAAGACTCCTATCTGGTCTCTCTCTTTCTGCCCATGACATTCTATAGCCTGTTCGCATAGCAGTATAGTGATTGCTCCAAAATATGTCATAATGTCACTCCTTTGCACACCCAACGTTGACTTGATTCTCATCGTAGAATAAAAACCTACGTCTTTACAATACCCTACAAGGCCCTTCAGAATGTATTCCCCAACCTCTCTACTAGTCTACTCTCCGATATCCTTCCTACTTCTCCCTCCCTTGCTTCTTCATCTCCAGACACAACAGGCTCTTTGCTCCCCCTTTCCCATCCCAGGAATGTTTTCTCCTTAGGGTTTCTGCCCCAGGGGTTCCCACAGAGATCTGTGAGGCTCACTACCTTGTCTCCTACAGGAATTTGCTCACTGATCACCCTATTAAAATTGTAGTTCCTGGGGCCAGGTGTGGTGGCTCACTCCTGTAATCCCAGCACTTTGGGAGGAAGAGGTGAGCCGATCACCTGAGGTCAGGAATTTGAGATTAGCCTAGCCAACCTGGTGAAACCCCATTTCTACTAAAAAAAAAATAAAAAATACAAAAATTAGATGGGCATGGTGACGTGTGCCCGTAATCCTAGCTACTCAAGAGGCTGAGGCAGGAGAATCACTTGAACCCCGGAGGTGTGGGTTGCAATGAGCCAAGATCGTGCCACTGTACTCCAGCCTGGGTGACAGAGCAAGACTCTGTCTCAAAAGAAAATAATAATAATAATGATAATAATAATAATAATAATTGCAGTTGCTCTCCGAAAGCATCTCCTAATCCTTTCATGGCAATGCTTTCTTTCTTTCCAAAGCTTATGTCACCATCTGACCCACTGTTCATTTTACTCATTTATCTTTACTTATCGTCTGTTTTCCACAGTAGAATATAACCTCTGTGGGAACAGGAAGTTTTACTTATGTCCCTGTCACCCAGGGCAGTGCCTGATGCATAGTAGGCACTTTGTAAATACCTGTGGAATAAACAAATAGCTACTTTGAATATAAATATTTAAATCTTCATCTAACAAATTATAGCTCTAACTGATGTTTTTCTAGTGTTGATTCCAAGCCCTCCTCTCTTTCTTGCCCGTCCCTCCTCTCTGGATCTGCTGTGATGTTTGTTGGGCTGGTCTCTGGTGTAGTAATGCGGGAAATTCTTAACTCTGCTGGCAAATGCTTAGACATTACACTTTAAATACTGTATTTTTATCAACAATATTTCCATAGCTCTGGCTGTTCCTTTGACAACTAGAAATCAGAGGATTAAAATCCTCTTCTTGTGTTGCATTAAGTTGCCACCTCAGCTACCAATGAATACAGAAACACCTGGAATTTTATTTTTGGTTTAACTACTTCCTGTCTGTATGAGGCCCTTACAGTGTATATTCATATACTTATGGAATTTATTCTTTTGGAATAACCCATATTATTTGCCTGAGATTCATCTAGGGTGGTTATTTTTGATGCCAGCTGTATATTTGTAAGGTCTTTCCCTAAAGAACTCCAGCCGCTCTGCGTTGTTTCAGCAAGCAGGAAATTCTGTACCTGGCAGTTCTTGCTGACCCAGCTAGAAGTGACGGAATGACGCATTTCACTTTCAGGGGCTATTGCTGGGTTTTCATATTCATTCTATAAATAGCACTTCAGGGAACACTCAGATACACTGAACATTTTCTTTGCAGTCCAGTTCAGTGTTGGCAGAAGGAAGGTCACATGCTATCTGGTTCTGCACAAGCCACTTGCCCCTTAGTGGATCCGAAGTTCTAGACAGACCCACCCAGAGTGTTCATTAGCTCATAAACACAGCATTACTCTCAGCAAATACTTCTGTGCCATTGTTTGTGCTGCATTCCGTGCCTGGAGGAATCCTACTTATTCTTTATTATTATTATTAATATTATTATTATTATACTTTAGGTTCTAGGGTACATGTGCACAACGTGCGGTTTGTTACATATGTATACATGTGCCATGTTGGTGTGCTGCACCCATTAACTCGTCATTTACGTTAGGTATATCTCTTAATGCTATTCCTCTCCACTTCCCCCTCCCCCCAATAGGTCCCAGTGTGTGATGTTCCCCTTCCTGTGTCCAGGTAAACCATGCTGCTATAAAGACACAGGCACACATATGTTTATTGCAACACTGTTCACAATAGTAAAGACTTGGAATCAACTCAAATGTCCATCAGTGACAGACTGGATTAAGAAAATGTGGCACATATACACCATGGAATACTATGCAGCCATAAAAAAGGATGACTTCATTTCCTTTGTAGAGACATGGATGCTGCTGGAAACCATCATTCTACGTATTCTTTAAGGTTCAGCTCAGGTGAGAAAGCTTTCCCTGAGTTGGCTCAGCAGAAACACCTTCTTCTTCCTTGTGGATTGCCCCATAACATTCGGTCTGTATCTCTTTGGCAGCAACTTCAGCATTATAATAGAGTTTGTCACCTAGGTATATATTTTCACACTCTCATCATCCCTTTCTCTCCTCACATCCCAAACTGTGAACCCTCAGGCCTGTGACTTCTGTAGCATGTATCTCTCCCCAACAGTTAGCAAAGGAAATATTCAGAAACATTTGTTGAGTGAATGGCCAATTGTATGAATGAATGAGTTGGCAATCACAGAGGAGAAAGGAGCTCATTTGTTTCCAGCTTAATGGCTTTAAAAATAATCCTGTGTTTAGTTTTTTTTTTTTTTTTTAATTTTCCCTAGCAAACACCTTCTACTATGTGCATGGCCAATTGGAGAAGAAAAAAAAAATAAATGTTGTTATATTTAAATACACTTCAGGGAGGCTTTTTAAAATTTTGCTTTTTAAATTCCAAGGCAACAGACAAGTTTGTTCCTTACAGACTTCTTGGCATCTTTCTTTTCACATGCTCTTTTTTGCTCGACCCAGTCTTCAGTCAAATTCCTCCAAAGGGTCTGCTGTAAACAATGATTTTGTGAGCAGTTGTGTGTTCTTTGCAGTGAAAACCCGCCTTGTTTTCTGTTGCTAGGCAACCCCATTCCAGCTGCCATTGAAGAAATGCGCGGTGGTGGGAAATGGTGGGATTCTGAAGAAGAGTGGCTGTGGCCGTCAAATAGATGAAGCAAATTTTGTCATGCGGTAAGAGAGAGCACCCACAGCGCGGCCTCTGCCTTCTCTCCTTTTTCCCCACCCCTCCCATAAGCCCTGGGGCTTTTCAAAACTAGTCACTTGTGATTAATCAGTTGTAGCACGCTCCTTAGCTTCACTTCCAGCTCATAGACAAGCGAGTTTAGGAGAGAGGTAAGGGGAATGAGGGAACATGCCCCGAGAAAGTACAAAGCCGAGAAGGCTCAGGCAGAACAGAGATACCCACTCTGCTGTGAATAAAGGGAACAGGGGAAAGTGGAAAATCTCACATCTCATTTTAGATTGTACAGCCAGGTGATTCTGACTTTTTAAATTGTTCTTTTCCTTAAGGGCAACTCTCTGTGAATAAATGTTTTCATGGATTCATTTTATTCTATACTATATTCTTAGTTTTTCACCAAAGCATGTGTAAGTAGCAAGTGGGATCTGAAGACAGATTAAATCTTTGAGGGAGTGGGAAAACTGGAACAAAGGAGCAGGGGTAAATTTCAAACAAGGAGGATGCTTGGTAAAGGGACTGAGCCGATTGGTGATGTGCACATCTGTTCCAGGAAAAACAGGAGGCCCCTGCAGGAGATGAAAAGGAATTGCTGAGACAGATTCAGCCAGGGGCAGAGACTGCCAAACTGTAGTGGCAGCAGCCTGCACTGCTGGGTGATTCTGCCCAGACATGCTTACCAGCCAGGCATAGAAGGAAAGACAGCAAGTGATTCGATAAAGACAGGTTTGGGATTATCTGGGTGAGAGGGAAGAAGGACAGGGAGTGACAACTTGGAGGGCTCTGGCTAGAGAGAGTGTAAAGTAACACACCTTGAAATCTGGGCTGGGCAGGAAGAGAGCTCTGAGATGAGTGAAGGAGAAAAAGGGAAAAATGATGGGGTCATTCAGAGCAGGGGTGAGGTAAGCTGTGGCTCCTGACTGTGAATGAAGGAGACGTGGAATAAGAAGAAGAAGCTAAAGTCAAAGAATGGCTTTCTGGAGGGCAAGATTTCAGAGCTCAGGGTATCTGGGGGATGAGTGGCCGTGTTGTAGAAAAAGAAAACATTTGTTATTGAGAAAATAAAGGAACCTTGAGGAGAGACTCTGAGAGGCCTTTCAGGTGGACCCTCAAGCCTCATTGAGGTGGAAATGACTATGAACCAAGTGCCAGCAGACTCTGTGGCCAGGAAGGGTGAAGACCACAGCAACACCAAGGACAGAAAGCTGAGCGAGATTTTGTATTCCTGTTTATTTTTAGGTATAAATGAGTAACAGTCTAGCAGTGGAAAAAAGGTAGCCGAGAGAATGCTAAGCCACCTCTGAGCCCTGAGCTAAATGGGAGAGGGAAGAGTAAAGACTTTATTTGAGAGGGTTTCAAGAGAAGCCATGTACTTGTGGGGGCTAAGTTCTCTCTCGGAATTAGTCTCCTTGAAAGACATTTTTTCTCACTTGTTGAAGCCTGCAGGAGAGTCTAGATCCCTGTCTACCCACCTTTCCTTCATACAGGTACCCCCAGCATAGTTTTCCTCTATATTGCAGTTTTTCTTTTCAATATATACAAATAATAGAAAAATGGAAAAAGTACAAATGTAATTCTTTTAGTTCCAGTCAATGCAACACCTGCTCACTGAACACCTATAACCTATGGGCCTTGAGCTGGCTCTGGGAATGGTGTGTTGAACAATTCTGTAATGGATTTATGTCCTAGAGATGTGCTTGCTACCGTGGGGGAATTCAGACACAGGGGAGCTTCTCAGGAGAAGTGGTGTCTGAGCTGAGTCTTCTCTTCATTTCACCCTAAGCAGAGAAACAACCCTTCCCAAGGGTCCAAGGTGGGAAAGACAGCAGGTGCTGTTGCAGTGTCATGAACAGTGGGGAAAATGGCTTGAGATGGAGCCAGAGAGGTATTTAAGGTATTGGAGTGGAGAAAATCACCCAGAGAGCATGAACAGGTGAGAGCAGAGCCCTGAGCCACCTTCAGGCACCCTCTTCAGTATTTTGGCCTTAGGTGAGGCTGAGGAGCCAGCAAAGAACACAGAGAGGTAGGAGACAAATCCTTGCTGTTGTTGACTAGGTCTGTGACCTACAGTGCATTATTTTACCCTTGCTGGGGCCCGGCTTTCTAATTTGTAGGAGGAACCAGAGTAGTCAATTCCTCAGGCCATTCCCACTATGGCAACTCTTACTCTATCTATGACTGTATGAATACCGTATAATTGTAACACCGTTTATGTAGTTTAGTTTATATTTTCATATTGCTCTTGAGTATTATTAGTTTATGTGCTCTTTCCAAAAATTATGTAAGAAAGAAGGAATACATAGTATTCAACTCACAGATTCAAAGTTAAGTGATTTCAAATGGCCTTGATACACGTGGAAGTGTAAATACACTTTGTGCAGTATAATAAATGTATTTTTGTATTATTCATGAGTGTGTATGTGTGTGTGTCATCCATTTGTGAAGATGGACATTTACTAACATGTAGAAGACTAGGCTTAGGCACCATAGAGTGTTATCTATTATTTCCAGTGGGCCATATTTATCACAAGTAAACAACACTTTGTTGGCCTTATATGCAATCTGATGTTGATATATTCAAGTTCAGAATTAAAGGGTGCTTCTGATTAGAGTGCCTGGCACAATATTGAGCATAATGTTTCTAAAATATGAGGAGATGAGGGTTGAAAGAATTCAAAGAAGGTAGCACCATAACGAGAACTATGTATGCATATGCCTTTGATTTAATTTCAAGAATAGTACTGTTTTATGACACATTTTAATTTTTAAAAGCCTTATGTATAGTTTAAATTATAGGAGTAATAAAAGTTGATAAATTATTTTAAAATTATTTGACCATTTGCAGATCTATTAATAAATCATTGCTTAATACGCATTTTGGGGCATGCTTAATATATCGAGATATTATATATTCAAAATTAAACATTTAATGAATAAATGTAGATTAGAAAGCATGTCGTATGTCTGGTCCTAGACTGTAGGGTGTGTGATGGACAGATGTACTGAGAGACAATATCCAAAAATAGTGCTGCCTGTACATAGTGATATACCAGATTACAGTTCAAAGTGTCTTCTAGGAGTAGGATACAACGATTTCATGATTTTCTCTGCTTAAATGTTTTCAAACACATCTTCTAGTGCTGAAAATCAATTTCCCATTTCTCAAAGTAAACATTTGCTCTGTAGCCCAAAGCAATACTTTAAAAAATAATATTGTTGAATTCAATTTATTGGGAAGGTTTGCCAGACAAAAGTTAACAGGGATTGCATCCTCAAAAGGAACTGGTTAACTTGGGGACATGAATGAGGGAACATAATTTTGGTGCCTTTTGAATTATGCTCCAATGTATGTTTTGTATACTCACATATATATAAAAAATGTAAAGTGATTTCGTGATTTTTCTACTTTAAGATTTCTTTCTATCAAGCCCATTTCCCACTTACTTCCACATCCCAATTCAAAGAATATTCATTTCTTGTTAATTCTCTGATCAGATCTCTTTTAAGATCATGAGTACAGTTGCTAAGACACTTCAGTCATTAATATTTGTTAATTGTGCCAACAGCGATAATGCAAACTTTGAAACATTTTACACCACAAATATGCCTTATTAAAACAATTTGACTTTATTAAATGTGCCTTTTGTGTACATCTTTGTAATTATCAATTTATGAGTTGAGGAACTAAAATTATGGTGTGCTTTTTCTGAGAGAAGAGATACAGGAAAGTGTCACAGATATTTGCACTTAAAGAAAAAGTTTACCCAGAACTTACACCAAAATGTATTGTCATAATTTTCTGGAAATACATCAAAATTCATATAAAATGTTATCTTTATGATTTTAAGCATTCCCCTCTGTTCTAGGCGATAATAAATAACTGCAAGTTTTTCTTGAGCTATTACTCTGTGGCAGTAGATATGAAAAGACCCAGACACATGAGCCATGGAACACACAGGAAAACAAAGTGTTTACTCATGAAAACCAGTTTGTTTAATAATGACAAAACACGTGGACAGCACTCTCCAGCAATACTCAGAATTTACAGTTTTAGCATAACATAGCTGATTCTCACATGCTTCCAAGGGCAATTAAGATCAAAGCTTCTTTAAGAGACAAGTGTCCAAATTTTAGTCTGTGTTTTATCCTGGAAGTCATCTTCCTCTTTGCAAAGATCAATTAAATCACAAGACCACAATCAGTTACCGCAACCGGATGAGCCTGGCTGTTGATGCATAAACTCACTCCCTCATGAGAATCCTCAGGAAACACCACATGGGATATGGGGCAACCACTCTATCTACTCTTGTACATACCTCAAGAGTAGGTTCTCTGACTTGGGCTCCACCCCCAAGCACTGTGTGCTTTCAGTGGGCACTCAGCAAAAGCCACTGACTGGTTAACTGACCTGTTGGCAGCTACCAGAAAAACCAGTATCTTATCACCAAAGAGCAGATAAAAAGAAGCTTCTAAATCAACTGAGACAAGTTTCTGCCTAGGATGCCTTGATGTGGTGACACTCACAGGGTAAATAAGAGACAAAATCAGAGAACCTGAGCTGATCAGCTGAGTAGGTGCCTGGATACTGGGGGTAATTTGTAGGGAAAATTTAGTTGTTGGGGAACTAGTAGAGACTGCAATATTTGTAAGATATCTTTACCTACAAGTAAGTGATGCTTTGGTTTACTGAAGTGATAAAAAGTTACAGATGCCCTAATGTGGTAGGAATCAAATTAGACATATGGTTGGAGAGGAGAAATGAGGACTCAGTAATAAAAGAAAGCTTAATGGAAACTACAGGCCCAATTGGCGTTTTCATAGATAATAAATGTATATTTAATTATTTTTGTATGCTATATCTGATTTGTGATATTTTTTAATATTTACTAAGTGTACACATCAAGGTTAGGGAATTTTTTTATTACATACCGTTTTTAATCCTTACAACAATTCAATAAAAGAGGAAAAATCATTATCCTCATTTTGTGTAATGGAGAAACTGAAGTCAGGCAAATAAATTAACTTGCCTAATGTTGCACAGGCAGAAATGGGATTTGAATTTGGGGTAGTCATATTTCCCATTGTAAGCATTTATGAGACATGGTGGCCAAGGAAAGCAACTGGGGCAGGGTGGTGTTTTGGGAATGGGAGTGGAGTGGCTATTCCCATCACCAGGGAAACATCACCTGTACTCTTTCCTTTGGCTGAACTGGGATGGTGGATCACTGCATTTATTTGCATGATGAGCCATTATGCCTTCACCAGTAATCAGCCTATGCACTGGCCAGATACTCACAAGTCAGACTTGCTATGATTTAAGTGAATAGCACATGGCCCTTAATGCACTCTTATAATTTAGATTTTGGAAAAAGAAAGAAAAACACCAGAAAATATATTAATTCTTCCCTGTCTTTTGAGGTTTATGGGTGTGCAGAGGTACTGTAGGTCCCATGTCCTCTAGTGTACCACACTGTCCTGAGCTCTAATTCAGGTCTAAGAATGTCTGTCCTACCCTCTCAAAAATATTTTGAACGGAATAAATACCTCCTAGTTACTGTCTCTTTCTTTTTGTAGATCATTTACCCCTTTGGCTGACATTATCTTTCTTCCTAAACAGGAGTGGTTTTTATGACAGCATTTGGAAGATGCTGATAGTTAATTATTCATCTAATGTCTATTGAAAGGGAGAGGTGGTTAAAAAAAGAAACAGTTACTTGTGAATTGAGCTAGAATTAATAAAATTTCTATTTGTATTATTCTAACTGATGATTTAAAATATGCGAATCATTCCAAAATGTTTGTTCTTGTTTCTCTAGATGCAATCTCCCTCCTTTGTCAAGTGAATACACTAAAGATGTTGGATCCAAAAGTCATTTAGTGACAGCTAACCCCAGCATAATTCGGCAAAGGTAAGAGTTTATGACTTCTGTTTGTGACGAATGAAGATGAAGTCTTCTCAAGTACTTAGCATCTCAGAGGCAGTGAGCATAGTTCAGTTTGGGAAATCAAGAGGAAAACCATCTGGACAGGCAGGAAGGATGAAGAAGGGAATCGTAAATAAAGAAAGCAGGATTATGGGAATCCAAACAATATTTTATGCTTCCTCTGGGATTCTGTTTCTTGCCTTTAGAGATGGTAGAAATAACAAGAAGATCAATTGTTTTGCTGAAAGAACAGCACAATATTCTGCTTACTCATTACTGCTACTTTTCAATTTGTTGACTTCAGTCCCAATTTATTGATTGGCAACTGTGAACTGAATTAATATCAAGAATAAAAACAAAGCAATGGCCAATCCATTACATTGCTTTGGCCAATCCATGCATGTGTTAAAATAGCAATATTGACAGAATGTACAAGAATGTGTGGTTATAGTATACTATATCACATTACATTGTATTATATTCAATCATATTTGGGAGAACAGTTGTAAAATTCTTGTTCTAGTATCAATTCCAGAAATCTTGAAATTCCCTGGAATCGGAAGCTGCTGTGGGAGCTTCGGCGGGGGCGGGGTCAGCCTCTAATTGATGAAGTGCATCAGCGAGCTATCAGCTGTTCCTCCAAGGACTGTTCATTGTAGAGAAGGAGGAATCAAGCATTGCTTTAGGTCCTTCTGTGTCCCTAGCAATTAGGGGTGAAATATCCTGGGCCCAGGCGCTTGTCATCTAAATAAGTCCCATCCAAGTGAACGGCATGTGTGTTCACTTATTCACAGTGTGGCACTACTTGTTTTGGTTCATAAGTATTCCCATAAAATACATATCTAGAAATGCAATCAGCTTTTAATTTTGGGAGATATCGTTAAATTACCCTCCCCAAAATGTACCATTTATCTTCAATAATGGATAAGACTGATTGTTACCCATATGGAAAAACAACACTATTTGTGGAAAAAAAGGACACATTATATTTGACTTAATTTGCATTTTTCTGAATATAAGAAGAGCTGAGTGGGTATTGACTCTTAGTATTTTTTCTCCTGTTTCTTTGTATTTTTTGCCTACTTTCAACTTGCTTTTAAAAATATTTTTCTATTGATTTATAGGAACTCTATATTATGTATATTAAGTCTTTGTATCAAATATTTTATTCTAGCCTGTTACATATATTTTGATTTATATTCTATTGCAATTTAAAAATTTTTATGCAATGAGACTTTTTAGTATTTTCCTTTATGGTTTCTTTTAAAAAACAATCTTTCTTTGGATGATCTTTCTTACTCTGATGCTCCTCCCTTCCACGAAAAAAAATCCTGAATTTTTCTAATGCATTTATAGTTTATATTTAGAAATGTAATCCATATAAATGTATTTATTTTTATTCTTGTAAGAGTAATTTTATTGTTTTTCAACGCAAATATATATTCATTATAAGAAATCAAACAGAAAAGTACAAAGAAGAAATGAGAACACTTACAATAAATTTTTTTATTAAAACAATTTATTTTTATATACCTATAGATTCACAGAAAATTGCAAAAAACAATTTACAAGAAGGTTCTACGTAAACCTTCTCCCAGTTTCCCCCAAGGGTGACATCTTTGACTATTATTTTGATTTGGGAATAAAATAACTTTTAAGCAGGAACACATGTTCCTTTGGAGGGAAATGAAACATTTAATATATTGTATCCAAGACCAGAAGATTCTGTTTTTCTACCTGAATATGTGGAGTTGTTGTAAGATTTAAAAAGGAATGTGAAAAAGAATGTTCAGAGCAAGATTTAGAACAAGCTGAGGGAGAGAGGAAGGGAGGAAACGAGGGAGGGAGGGAGAGGGAGAGATTGTTTTTTGGGGAAAAAATATAAATACAAATGGAGGAAGGACAGTCAAAAATTAAATTTTGAAGAGGAAAGTAGAACTGTTTTTTAAGACTTAAGCTCACTGTGAAGAAAACATGCATGGACAAGCAAGAATCATTATCACTAACATTGGTAAATATTTAGTTCACATTTCTGTGTGCCAGGTTCTGTGCTCTTTATAGGTAGTGCCTCACTTCATCCTTAAAACAATCCTAATAGACAGGAGCTATTTTAATTTATGCATTTGACAGAAGAATCTTGTGATGTGGTGAATCTAGGAATCTGTTCATACACACAGCTGCTAATAATCACCTGGGACTTCACCCAGGCCTCTCTTATTCCAAAGCCCATGCTCTCAACCAGGGACCATCTCTGGTCACTGCTGACCAACTGCTTTTTCTCTGTTCTCACACTACAACACAGAAGACTGTGAAAAGAACCAAGGTTGCGGGGTGTCTGGCTGTTTCCAGTGACCAGCCCCCACCCTGAAGCTGCATAGGGCCTCAGTCAACTCATTAACATGCAAAAAGATAACACCGTGGAGTTTCTAAAGATTTTAGGCGTTGTATGCCACAAAATGAGATCAAAGATCTCAACTATGTATTTCAGAATATTACACCATCACACCCTCTCATCTTTTTCCGAAATCCATATGTTGCCCAAGGAGACAATAGAGTTTTCCCAGAATAATCAACATAGAAAACTTCTGCCACCAAATGTGTTTGTGTTTTTCCCCCACACACCAAGCAAGCAAGCAGTTCTGCAGCAGACACCAGCAGGGTATCTCCAATTCAATTCCAACACTATCTACATATAGTGTCAGATCCCACAGACTGAGGGCTCAGTCCTACAAGACTACCCCCAACCCCTACCAGTCACACGTCTAGGCCTCTGGAACTTTTGACTGACTGGCTTCAAGTTGGGGTTCCCCCAACTCTCTTTTTGGATTTGGTTAATTTGCTAGGGCAGCTCACAGAACTCAAGGAAACACTTACTTACGTTTACTGGTTTATTATGTTACAAAGGATTCAGATGAAGGAGTGCATAGGATGAGGTATGGGGGAAGGGACGCGGAGCTTCTGTGCCCTCCGTGGTGGGCACATCACCCTCCAGAAACCCCCACCTTCTTATCTGGAAGCTCTCCAAGCCCTGTCCTTTTGGAGTTTTATGGAGGCTTCATTAGCAGGCATGATTGATGAAACCATTAACCACTGGTGATCAACTTAACCTGTAACCCTTTTCTCCTCCCCAGAGGTCAGGGAGTGGGCCTGAAAATCCCAACCCTAGAATCCTGCCTTGATTCTTTCCAGTGAACAGCCCCCACCTGGAAGGGCTGGTCAGCTGTCAGTCAACTCATTAAGATGCAAAGAGGTATCACTGTGGAGTTGCTAAAGATTTTAGGAGTTACAAGGTCAAAGATCAAATATATACTTCATAACATTACACCATCACACCCTCTGATCTTTCTCTGTGATTCATGTGTTGCACAAGGGGACAGTAGCATTTTCACAGGTTATACATAATTTTGTAAAAGTGAAAGTTTCTTTATTTTAAAAAATGTATTCAGGCCGGGCGCGGTGGCTCAAGCCTGTAATCCCAACACTTTGGGAGGCCGAGACGGGTGGATCACGAGGTCAGGAGATCGAGACCATCCTGGCTAACACGGTGAAACCCCGTCTCTACTAAAAAATACAAAAAACTAGCCGGGCGTAGTGGCGGGCGCCTGTAGTCCCAGCTACTCGGGAGGCTGAGGCAGGAGAATGGCGTGAACCTGGGAGGCGGAGCTTGCGGTGAGCGGAGATCCGGCCACTGCACTCCAGCCTGGGGGACAGAGCAAGACTCCGTCTCAAAAAAAAAAAAAAAAAAAAGTATTCAATGTAACAACATTTCTGTTCAAATCAACATGCATACACCAATTCCATTTTGTAACATAAGAAAAAATTGCATTTACAATAGCATCAAATAATATGATACATTTAATTAAACAAGAAAGCAAGTCCTCTTTGGAAAAAATATGAAATTTTATTGAGAGACACTTTAGACAACCTGATTAGATGTACTGATAATACCATGTGCATGATTGAAAGACTCAGTATTGTAAAGGCACCAGGTCTACCCAAATCTATCTACAGATTCATTGAAATTCCAATGGAAATCTTCATGATGCATGCCTGTGTATATGTGTGTTAAACTTCAAAAGTTATGTAGAAATATGAAGAGCCGAGAATAACAAAGAAGTTCTTGAAGAAAAAATGATTGGCAGCATTGCTTTATAAGATGTTAAGACTTGTTAAAAAGCTATTATAATTAAGACAATGTGGCTCTGGTGCAGGGACAAACCAACTGAGCAGTGAAACAGAATAGAATACTCCCAAATATTTCCACATAGATATAAACCATATATATGACAGATGTCATATTTATATCAGTGATATAAATATGAAGAGTCGAGAATAGCGAAGAAGTATAAATTTTTCAAAACATGTTGGGATAATTAGATTACATATGGGAAAAAAATAAAGTAAATTAAACCTCTACCTCATCATAACTTATACTAAAAATTATTTTCAGGTGGTTAAGACTTAAAAATAAAGCTGCTGGGCCCAGTGGCTCACGCCTGTAATCTCAGCACTTTGGGAGGCCGAGGCTTGTGGACTGGCTGAGGAGTTGAGACCAGTCTGGGCAACATGGCAACACCTCATCTCTACCAAAAAATACAAAAGTTAGCCAGGTATGGTGGCATGCAGCTGTAGTCCTAGCTACTTGGGAGGCTGAGGCAGCAGAATTGCTTGAGTCCAGGAGGTCAAGGCTGCAGTGAGCCAAGTTTGTGCCACTGCACCAAAGTCTGTCGAGTGAGACCTTGTCTCTAAAATGAAGAAGAAGAAGAAGAAGAAGAAGAAGAAGAAGAAGAAGAAGAAGAAGAAGAAGAAGAAGAAGAAGAAGAAGAAGAAGAAGAAGAAGAAAATTTAAAATAAAAATAAAAGCAACTAACAATACAGCTAGGGACAAAGATGTAGCAAGTAAAACTGTAAGGAATAATAAGTAATCACTTATCAGTGTAGGAAGAGTATTGGGTTCAGGTGTGGAATAATGGGACTTCTGGATT